ACTGTATATATATAGTACATTCACATCAGTCCCTAACCCTCAAGGGGCGTACAATCTAAGGTCCCTAACTTACATTCATACATACACATACTAGGGCCAATTTAGACAGGATCCAATTACCTACCAGCATATCTTTGGAGTGTGGGAGGAAACTGGAGGATACTCACACAGGCGCAGGGGGAACATGCAAACTCCAGGCAGGCGGTTGGGATTCAAACCAACAACCCTAGCACTGCCAGGTGAAAGTACTAACCATTTAGCAACTGTGCTGTCTATATATATATATATCCAGTGGTTGCCACTGTTGGATTGTGATAGACAGTCCACGTTTTATTAGATGATCAGTAAAATGACAATTTTATAGTCTTGCTACTTTCTGCTTCTTGCTCTTTAAATTCCTTACTCTCTTAACTAAACAATCAGATATAAGTTGACAGAACAATAATAATTAAGACGGCGCCTTCATCTGGAGTCTCACCCTAGGTGACTCATTAGAAGAAAAGTATCTTTTAACAAAAACAGCCCCCATAAAAGGGAATGAGTCGTTTTGGGGACAATGATTGGAAGATATCAACACGGATGGAAGAACACACAGAAACCTAGTGGACTTTTCACCCAATCAATGTATATGCTTTGCCTGTATCATGAGACCTATAAATGTTACTGTTAGTTCCTCAATAAAACAGAATTTTAGGAAGTTGGCAAACTGCATTTATGTGCCAGTGTCTTACTTCTACGTGCACGTATTCTCACATTAATTAGGCTCACTGGTAGATCACAACAGCTGTGGTCAGTAAGTGACCGCATCCAAAACAAGTGTCCCATGTGCAGCTAGCTGTAGTTTTTTATTAAAAATCTTCTGTCCTCTGATCTCCCCCCTCCCACCCCTGTGGCTGTAATTTTCTTGTCATGAGCACTCATCAAGAGTGCCAACTATGCTTCTCCTTTCTACTCTTTTCCTCCATTCATAGAAGCCACACTATAACTTCTATGAATAGAAGGTGCGCTATGAATGGTGGTAGAGTGGATGAAAAAAGATCCACCACCATAATTCAGAGAGTGCTTTTTATTCTTGGAATCTTTAGTATGGCTTCCATAAATGCAGAAGGGGGGCGAAAAGAGTGGGCTATTGATGAGTGCATATGACAGGTCCCTCGGCTCATATTAACTCTATGGCATCAGAAGATTACTGCTACAGTGATAGTGGTAGTGGAGGGATCAGCAGACAAAAGATTTTAGCTAATTTTGCAGCCAGCAGCACAAAAAGACACTTTATATTAATTATAAGTACTGTCCTTTGTGCTGTTTAAAAGAAATGTTTTGACTACACTTTGAAGTTAATTAAGTATACTGCATTCATTAAAAAAAATAGTATTTATAAAAATATGTGGTATAAATGAATGACTGTAACTCAGCAATAGCTTCTTGTGATTCTTTTTACACCAGCACACAGTAAAAGGAGAGGGAGGTGCAGCACTAGATGCCAATAAGGTGCACTGGTACCTAACATGCTGACAATAGCAAAGACAGCATAGAGGTGGGCATATTATCCTTGTGCCCTCACTGTCCAATGACAAGCTGGAGACAGAGAGGTGAACTAACTGCATTGCCTAACTGCAGCAAAGTCAGGTCACCAACCTGGCTCCACTCTGTGGCATGGCATAGCGGTGTAAAGTTAAGAAATGGGTAGAGAGAGCTTGAAATTCTTTGGCAGGAAAAATATTTCCAGAGGATGCATTTCATTTCTACAATTAGATGTTTGTTTGCTCTTCAGCTTTAAAAGCAATCTTTTTTTTTATTATTATTATTATTATAATACAGGATTTATATAGTGCCAACAGTTTACACAGAACTTTACAATATAAAGGGGGACAGTACAATTACAATACATTTCAATTAAGAAGGAATAGGTGGGTCCTGCTCATGGAGCTTAAAATCTAAAGGGAGGGGGAGATATTATACATAGGCCATCACTGCAGGTCAGTTTCAATCCCAAAGTTAGTTGGAACATTTGTTTCAGATCTTTCTGAATAGCTGGGATTTATCATCAGAAAATTAGGGAACAATCAACTTGTACTATTGAGAATCCTAATTGATTTCAGTTCAATAGGATTTAGAGATCAAAAGTGACTAAACCAAGATACATACTTGAAAATCACATGGAACATGACTAGAGTTTCCAGTCTGCCTCTTCCTTCTTTTTTCTAAATGAAAAAAAAAAACAAAAGTGATCAAATAACACATACACATTTCTATTTATTTTTGATTATACTGACATATTGGGTAGTCTTACAAATCAGTCTTTTTGAATGTTACATTTCTGTAACTAAGTGAGAATTCTGTTAGCATTCATAATCCATTACCAAATTATGCATTTTAGAAACCAACCAAGTGTGGCTTTAAATATGAAGAGTTACCTATTCCCTTGGTCTGTCTCTTTGAATTGGATCTATACACAAACATTACCACAAATTTAAGTAAGAGAAAGGAAAGGCTTGAGGTACCTTTCTTTACTGTGAGAAATTTCAGCTCTGGGTTCCCTTTTATTTTTGGAATGTCTGAAGAACTAGGCATTTGGTTGTAAGAATTTTGCAGAAGGTGAGGACCAGACTGGCTGGTCTTTTCTCCGATAGCAGAGCTCATATGATACACTTTCCGATATACTGAAATAATTTCTGACATTTTTATTGTTATATATAATAAAATCTTCCTATGAGAATCAGTGCACCGGATACCTTAAAACCCAATTCCAGTAAACTTTAAAATTATCTTTTGCAGTGTGGCTTTTCCCATACTGCAAGGGTAAACGGATTGTTTAAGGCTAAGGGACATGAAAAAGTAAATTTTCTTACCAGATCTGCTCCTCCATGCTGCTAGACCAGTCCCTGCAGCATCTTCTCCCCCATGCTCCAGCAGTCAAAGGACCTGACATCATAATGGCCAAGCAGGGTCCATAGTCCTAGATTGGACATGAGGATACCAAGGGACAGTCCACTGCGATCTGTGGGGGGAACAGAGACTCAGGTAAGTAAAATTGCTTGTGGATTTTGCTCTTTTAATCTTTAGTTAACCTATTTTGGTTATTGAGAGTTATGTACTCCACTATGAATGCTCGCTACCGGGACATGGTCCTGTTTTCTGTCTGTTACAATTACATGACAAAATGTTGAAGCCTTCAGACATGTGGTCAGCAATTAACGGAGCCTGAACCATCATTATTTCTGGAACAGGTAAGTATTTCAACCTGCTAGTCTTTATCTATCTTGGCAAAGCTATTAAAGAATATAAAAATGCAATATATTCCTGAAATGTGCCTGTTGTACAGTTGTTAGGAGCGTGTATAACTTCACAGCTGCTGGTCTCATTCCAGCATCCTGGTTTTGGTTGTGATACATTATCCCTGTCTGTCCACCTGCAAGGCAATTGACATGGTCAGTCTCTGCGTGGAGACCAAACCTTATTAAAGCCAGCCAAATCTGCACTCATGCTTATGATATTGCATTTGTAACACGTGCTGCAAGCTCCCTCTTGTCTGCCCTGCCTGCTAGTTTGGATTCCCTCACTGAGGACCTTGGATTTGATATCAAATACTCTCTAAACTCTGCCTTATTTTTGACTACAGATATGACCATGACTATTCTGAATCTTATGCCAAAAAACAGCAGTATAGCCTCCTGCACTCAGGTACAGTGCTTTAAGGTATAGTACACCTGTCTGGCCAGTTGGTATGGTGCCGAAGGTCTTGCTGCCCTCTCAGGACTGTGGGTGTCCTCGCTAAACTGGAAATAATAATAAAAGAAAGAGGGCGCACTAACCTAGTGCATTACCAAAAACACCATTTATTTAAAAGATACTGCATATAAAATGTAGGTCATCTACTCACAAACACATGTAAAAACAGGCATGTAATGGGATACAGACGAGACCGCCTCAAGGTCTACGGTACCAAGCCAGTGGTATGGGAAGTCTGCATGCTGTCCAAAGGCTCACGTATTTCAAGGAACGGACCCTCTGCCTCAGAGTCAATGTAAGTACAGAGTGGTAAAAGTAAGTATAAACCTTTATATCTAGTGATTAGTGACCTCCCACTACAAAGAGAAGAAATGAGGGTGAAGTCACAGATCATGAGAGAAAAAACATTATAAATAGTATAAAACATTACGAAACACTGTTCCAATGGCCAACTGGTATGCAAGCATAGAGAACATAAAGTGATCAAGCCACACATATAGGAAATATAATAGTTTAAAGCCACATTCTTATCATATTTTTCTGACTTTAAATAGATATACACTGTGATTGTGGTATAAGTGTGATTCGCTGCTCATGGGACATGTTCACAGAGTGAATTGTGAAAACCACATGGTGGTGTGCGCCTTTGCATGCCACTTACTGAGAAGGAAGACACCGGAAAGGCGGGGTGTGTGTTTGCATTCCACCTGCACTTCCAATTGCAGTGTTGTCACTTCTGGTCTCATATAATGATGTTACTCTGGCATCATTTCTGGCTGCCACCAGCTCCACGAAGGGGAACATATCTAGAGTACAATCCAGGTCACAACACTGCACCCACCTAGTGGATCGGCTGCCCATCTACAATCAGCTCATCTATGGGGAAATATTAAAAGACCTCTAGATAACAATTCAATAGAGGGTTGCAGAGACGTCCAAAGCGGATCAGATGTCATTCCATGCCAACAAGGCAGCCAAAGGCCAAACAATGGAACATCATCACAACTGTTAATGTAAATAACTCATTCATAGATATACACACATTAATGGCAGATGCTAGGTCATAATAAATAAGTTAATGAAAAAATGATGACTAAAAAAAAAAAATCAATTATGCTATTTTTTTATAAACCCATCTGTTCAATGTGCCTGCATGCATCATAATTCATAAGAATAAGGTTATGTGTAAAGAAGGGGGAGACAATATGCACTTGTATATATACATATACAATATACATATATGAAGATTTATATGCACATGTACAGTATATTGGGACACCACTCCAAATCATTGGATTCAGGTGTTCCACCTCCATGGCCACAGGTGTATAAAATAAAGCATTTAGGCATGCAGACTGCTTCTACAAACATTTGTGAAAGAATGGGTCGCTCTCATGAGCTCAGTCAATTCAAGCGTGGTACCGTGATAGGTTGCCACCTGTGCAATAAGTCCATCCATGAAATTTCCTTGCTACTAAATATTTTATGGTCAACTGTTAGTGGTATTATAACAAAGTGGAAGCAACTGGGAACAATAGCAACTCAGCCACACGAAGTGGTAGGCCATGTAAAATGATAGAGTGGGGTCAGCGCATGCTGAAGCGCACAGTGCGTGGAAGTCACCAGCTGTCTGCAGAGTCAATAGCTAAAGACCTCCAAACTTTGTGTGGCTTTCAGATTAGGACAACAGTGTGTAGAGAGCTTCATGGAATGGGTTTCCATGGCCGAGCAGCTGCATCCAAGCCTTATATCACCAAGTGCAATGCAAAGCATCAGATGCAGTGGTGTAACGCACACCCCCACTGGACTCTTGTGCAGTGGAGATGTGCTCTCTGGAGTTTTAAATAGCAATTAAATGTTGCCTAAGTATGAAAGAAAAAAATGTAATTAAAGATTAATTATTCGTTTGAACAACTATACATACACAGTACAACATGCAAATGAATGCCTATAAGTGATATCATATACGATCCATATAAGGAACAATACAATGTTCAAAATCCTCGTGAATGACAACTTCCACAAACACTTTGTGAAAAAGAACGTGTTTCTTGAATGCAATATTAATAGTGTTGATCTTCTTTTCATCCAAAAAAATCACTACCGATAAATAGACCACTATCATAAGTGTAAAATGGAGGATTACCAGATGAGAAGACCCCTTATTATAGGGGGGTCTAATAAGGCTCTATATAAATGTAACTCCGTCCGGACCTCTATGTTGTAACCGGGACCCAGATTACACTTAGATCAGTATGCCATTCTCATAGCAAAGCCAAGACAGTGTCATGTAAAATAAAACATGCCTCTCACACAATTAATTAATCTTTAATGAAATTTGTTTCTTTCACAGCATTAAATTGCTATTTAAAATTTACTAAGGGAAGATGTCCTCTAGTGTCTGCAGCTTTATATGTTGTGAAAGTAGGGAATTTGTGCAGTTGAACCTATTTTATAGTTTCTGGCGTGACAAATCACGCTTCTCTGTCTGGCAATCCAATAGATGTTTCTGAGTTTGCAGTTGCCAGGAGAATGGTACTTACCTGACTGCATTGTGCCAAGTGTAAAGTTTGGTGGAGGGCTGGATTATGGTGTGGGGTTGTTTTTCAGGAGTTGGGTTTGGCCCTTTAGTTCCAGTAAAGGGAATTCTTAAGGTGTCAGCATACCAAGAAATTTTGGACAATTTCATGCTCCCAACTTTGTGGGAACAGTTTGGGGATGGCCCCTTCCTGTTCCAACATGACTGTGCACCAGTGCACAAAGCAAAGTCCATAAAGACATGGATGATTGAGTCTGGGGTAGAGGAACTTGATTGGCCTGCATAGAGTCCTGACATCAACCCGACAAAACACCTTTGGAATGAATTGGAGCTGAGACTGCGAGCCAAGCCTTCTCGTCCGACATCAGTGCCTGACCTTACAAATGTGCTTCTGGAAGAATGGTCAAACTTTCCCATAGACACACTCCTAAACCTTGTGGACAGCCTTCCCAGAAGAGTTGAAGCTGTTTTAGCTACAAAGGGTGGGCCAACTCAGTATTGAACCATACGGACTAAGTCTGGGATGGCATTAAAGTTCATGTACATGTAAAGACAGGCGTTCCAATACTTTTGGCAATATAGTGTATATTGTGTATATATATATATATATATATATATATATATATATATATATGTATATATATATATATATATATACACATACAAAACAAAGATGCATAGAGCCCTTGTGAACCATCTCAAAATTAAAAGAAATTATATTACCACTGTTCTTGTGGCTGGATGGAGCTCCTCCCATGAATGTATCTAACCTGTCCTTCATACGCTGGATAGGATGGTGTACATGTATATTCATATATGTGTGGTATAGGTAATTTTACAAATAATGATCAGAATGATAATAATAAATACTAATAAAAGGAGGAAAAAATGGTTAAAAAACACAATCCTCACACTGATCAAATAGGGATATTAGGGCTCAAGAAAACTGTTTCTTGTGATAATGGACCAAACCGGTCCTCAATAGTAAATAGCAATGTAAACATGATCAACCGAAAAGATTAATATTGGATAAAAAAAAATGTAAAATGTAATATATAAGCTCAAAAGATATTATAATATTAATATTAACAAAAGCGGACTCCCTGTTGGAGAGCTATACCTCCCCAAACCTGGGCCGCTAGTTGAGATGGAAGATGAAAAAGATGAAAAGAGAGAAAAGGGAAATCAAGATTTGCATATGGATATGGATGACACTAAATAGGCCAGATGAAAATTAGAGGCTGATACGGAGATACCTTTATATCTCACATGTAAGCCAGGTTTCAGTGTCAGTTAATGTTGTACTATGGAATGTATTTCAGTTTCTTCATTTAACCCTTTGGAGAAAATGGATCCTAGTGTAAACATCCAATCAGGGGCGGACTGACCATTTGGAAACTCTGGCACTGCCCGAGGGCCTGGGGTCAGTAGGGGGCCCCATAAGATGCCCCTTGTACCTTTTTCATAGGCTTTTTTGAGTTTGGGCAAGGCCACAGGGGGCCCATGATCCCCTATTGACCGGGGGCCCCATGAGTTGTCAGTCCCCCCTGCATCCAATATGTTTCTCTCATGCAAAGTTTCTGGTATCTTTTGCCATTATCTAATTCTTTATCCATGGCTTTTATTCTGAACACCACTAAGGCCTTCTATACTTCCATTATGTACTTAGAGGAAGTGGTGAGGTACTGAATATTTTTATTTGCCACAACTGATGCTCCTTTTATGTTTGTTCGCCTATCCTTACCCTCAGAGTGCGAGACGTGATGCCCACATATAGTAAACTGTATGGACACCAAGGGCGATACACTACATATGAAGTGCTGCAATTAATAAATAAATTAATAAATAGTTTGATGCTATGAGTATTACCGTTAACCCCTGTGGCTTCCTTTTAGTTATGACACATGTGGGCACAAGTGCCACAGTTGGTTACTCTGAACTTGTAGCTGTCTTTCTAGTCAAACACACTCGTCTATTGGCTTATCATCCCATTTGTTCTTTTTTATTTACCCTGTTAGGTGCTATCATGCTCCTGAAGTTTCTTGGTTTCCTATAAACCAGGTTTGGACGGTCAGGTAAATAGTCCCGCAATGCAGGGTCTTGCTTAAGGATCTTCCAATTTTTCTTTAATATCCTTTTTTATCATTGCGGCCTTGTTTGTTATATTTGGTAGAAAATCTTATTGAACCAAATTGTTGTTTATTCATGATTTCCTGATTTTTAATCTGTTCTCCATATCCCCCATTGTATAACTTCCAATACATTCCAATACAATACCTGTTGTACGCTTCCTCAATATGCGTTTCATCATATCCCTTCCCATATATTTCTTTTTAGGATCGTACTCTGCTCTTCATAATCCACTCTATGAGTGCAGGTGCACTTGAGCCTGCAGAATTGGCCAAAAGGTACATTTTTGATCCACCTCGGATGGTGGTGGCTCTGAGCATGAAGAAACAAATTGCCTGCGCTAGGCTTAAAATGAGTTCTGGAAAGGATGGCCCTGCTCTCAATTCCAAATATAAAAAGATAAGCATGTCTCATCTAGCACATGTGTTAAAGAGATACTGTATGGATTATTGGCACAATGAGATAAATAGCCCTCCAGTTCCATGTTTGTTCTATTCCAAATGATGTATCGTGCATAGAGGACCAGGTTCGCCCTAAAAGGGTTATTAGCCCAAATGTGTTGGAGTTCCCAGAAACCCATAAAAAGGTTGGCGAAATGAAAAATTCGATTCGACTGATTCGGCGAATTCGTGGACAATATTCGATTCGAGTCGAATAAAATTCGCTGTGAATTTAACTTAAAAAAGGGTGTTTCTAGGCTTCAGAGAGACTTAATATTAGTGCAGAACACTGTACCTTTAATTTAAATGCCCTTGGAGTCTGCTGGGGAAGAGAAATAATACTGTCTGTCAGTATGACATGCAGATGAGTGCCGTGCCGTCGATCTTAGAATCACTGCACACTTCACTCCTTTGGCCAGTCACGGGGCCAAAACCAGTGTTTGGAGCCACAGTGTGGCGGTGGAGGCAGCAGCAATGGGAGGCCATACAGCAACCTATGACAAAATGGAAACCAGCAGGAGCGTGAGGAGACCTGAAAGTGGCACATGGCAGAGTGGGAGCAATGGGAGGCGGTACAGGGACCCAGGTCACACTATGGGCCCAGCAGCAGCGTGACCAGGCGGTACGGGGGCCCATGGCCGATATGGGGCTTGGTGGCACCTATGGAAGGCCTGTAATCTGCCAGCAACCTATGACAAAATGGACAACCGCAGGAGTGTGAGGAGATTTCAAAGTGGCACATGGCAGAGTGGAAGCAATGGAAGGCCGTACAGGGACCCAGGTCACACTGTGGGACCAGCATCAGCGTGAACAGGCGGTACGGGGGCCCATGGCCGATTTGACCTCATTCATCCCATAGTCCTGCCGACTCACGAATAGCGTGGCCTCCTCAAAGGGCCTGAGCAAGCGCAGGTGTCACACATGAGCTGCCAATGGCTGACATCTAAGTTACACAGGGAGTACCTTTATCCGCTTTTAACATCAGGAAATCTGTGATGGCCTTTAGCTGTTCGTAAAGGCGGTCTAACATATGTAGGGTTGAATTCCACCTTGTTGCAACGTCACAGCATGAGGAGTCGGTACGGGGGCCCATGGCAGATTACATGTCTGGCAGCAGCTATGTGAGGCCCGTAATCTGCCTGCACCCTATGTCAAAAAATTTAACACACCAGCAGTGTGAAGAGACCTGAAAGTGGCACATGGCAGCAGAGTGTGGCGATGGAGACAGCAGCAATGGGAGGCCGTACAGGGACCCATGAGAGACTCTAGACTTGGCAGCAGCATGAGGAGGCGGTATATAGGGGCCCATGGCAGATTAGGGGCCTGGCAGCAGCTATGTGAGGCCCGTAATCTGCCCTGCACCCTATGTCAAAAAATTTAACACACCAGCAGTGTGAAGAGACCTGAAAGTGGCACATGGCAGCAGAGTGTGGCGATGGAGACAGCAGCAATGGGAGGCCATACAGGGACCCATGACAGACTCTGGACTTGGCAGCAGCATGAGGAGGCGGTATATAGGGGCCCATGGCAGATTAGGGGCCTGGCAGCAGCTATGTGAGGCCCGTAATCTGCCTGCACCCTATGTCAAAAAATTTAACACACCAGCAGTGTGAAGAGACCTGAAAGTGGCACATGGCAGCAGAGTGTGGCGATGGAGACAGCAGCAATGGGAGGCCGTACAGGGACCCATGAGAGACTCTGGACTTGGCAGCAGCATGAGGAGGCGGTATATAGGGGCCCATGGCAGATTAGGGGCCTGGCAGCAGCTATGTGAGGCCCGTAATCTGCCTGCACCCTATGTCAAAAAATTTAAACACACCAGCAGTGTGAGGAGACCTGAAAGTGGCACATGGCAGCAGAGTGTGGGCGATGGAGACAGCAGCAATGGGAGGCCGTACAGGGACCCATGAGAGACTCTGGACTTGGCAGCAGCATGAGGAGGCGGTATATAGGGGCCCATGGCAGATTAGGGGCCTGGCAGCAGCTATGTGAGGCCCGTAATCTGCCTGCACCCCCTATGTCAAAAAATTTAACACACCAGCAGTGTGTGAGAGACCTGAAAGTGGCACATGGCAGAGTGTGGCGATGGAGACAGCAGCAATGGGAGGCCGTACAGGGACCCATGAGAGACTCTGGACTTGGCAGCAGCATGAGGAGGCGGTATATAGGGCCCATGGCAGATTAGGGGCCTGGCAGCAGCTATGTGAGGCCCGTAATCTGCCTGCACCCTATGTCAAAAAATTTAACACACCAGCAGTGTGAAGAGACCTGAAAGTGGCACATGGCAGCAGAGTGTGGCGATGGAGACAGCAGCAATGGGAGGCCGTACAGGGACCCATGACAGACTCTAGACTTGGCAGCAGCATGAGGAGGCGGTATATAGGGGCCCATGGCAGATTAGGGGCCTGGCAGCAGCTATGTGAGGCCCGTAATCTGCCTGCACCCTATGTCAAAAAATTTAACACACCAGCAGTGTGAAGAGACCTGAAAGTGGCACATGGCAGCAGAGTGTGGCGATGGAGACAGCAGCAATGGGAGGCCGTACAGGGACCCATGACAGACTCTGGACTTGGCAGCAGCATGAGGAGGCGGTATATAGGGGCCCATGGCAGATTAGGGGCCTGGCAGCAGCTATGTGAGGCCCGTAATCTGCCTGCACCCTATGTCAAAAAATTTAAAACACACCAGCAGTGTGAAGAGACCTGAAAGTGGCACATGGCAGCAGAGTGTGGCGATGGAGACAGCAGCAATGGGAGGCCGTACAGGGACCCATGAGAGACTCTGGACTTGGCAGCAGCATGAGGAGGCGGTATATAGGGGCCCATGGCAGATTAGGGGCCTGGCAGCAGCTATGTGAGGCCCGTAATCTGCCTGCACCCTATGTCAAAAAAATTAAACACACCAGCAGTGTGAAGAGACCTGAAAGTGGCACATGGCAGCAGAGTGTGGCGATGGAGACAGCAGCAATGGGAGGCCGTACAGGGACCCATGAGAGACTCTGGACTTGGCAGCAGCATGAGGAGGCGGTATATAGGGGCCCATGGCAGATTAGGGGCCTGGCAGCAGCTATGTGAGGCCCGTAATCTGCCTGCACCCTATGTCAAAAAATTAAACACACCAGCAGTGTGAAGAGACCTGAAAGTGGCACATGGCAGCAGAGTGTGGCGATGGAGACAGCAGCAATGGGAGGCCGTACAGGGACCCATGAGAGACTCTGGACTTGGCAGCAGCATGAGGAGGCGGTATATAGGGGCCCATGGCAGATTAGGGGCCTGGCAGCAGCTATGTGAGGCCCGTAATCTGCTGCCTGCACCCTATGTCAAAAAATTTAACACACCAGCAGTGTGTGAGAGACCTGAAAGTGGCACATGCAGCAGAGTGTGGCGATGGAGACAGCAGCAATGGGAGGCCGTACAGGGACCCATGAGAGACTCTGGGACTTGGCAGCAGCATGAGGGCGGTATATAGGGGCCCATGGCAGATTAGGGGCCTGGCAGCAGCTATGTGAGGCCCGTAATCTGCCTGCACCCTATGTCAAAAAAATTAACACACCAGCAGTGTGTGAAGAGACCTGAAAGTGGCACATGGCAGCAGAGTGTGGCGATGGAGACAGCAGCAATGGGAGGCCGTACAGGGACCCATGAGAGACTCTGGACTTGGCAGCAGCATGAGGAGGCGGTATATAGGGGCCCATGGCAGATTAGGGGCCTGGCAGCAGCTATGTGAGGCCCGTAAATCTGCCTGCAGCACCCTATGTCAAAAAATTTAAACACACCAGCAGTGTGAAGAGACGAAAGTGGCACATGGCAGCAGAGTGTGGCGATGGAGACAGCAGCAATGGGAGGCCGTACAGGGACCCATGACAGACTCTAGACTTGGCAGCAGCATGAGGAGGCGGTATATAGGGGCCCATGGCAGATTAGGGGCCTGGCAGCAGCTATGTGAGGCCCGTAATCTGCCTGCACCCCCTATGTCAAAAAATTTAACACACCAGCAGTGTGAAGAGACCTGAAAGTGGCACATGGCAGCAGAGTGTGGCGATGGAGACAGCAGCAATGGGAGGCCGTACAGGGACCCATGACAGACTCTGGACTTGGCAGCAGCATGAGGAGGCGGTATATAGGGGCCCATGGCAGATTAGGGGCCTGGCAGCAGCTATGTGAGGCCCGTAATCTGCCTGCACCCTATGTCAAAAAAATTTAACACACCAGCAGTGTGAAGAGACCTGAAAGTGGCACATGGCAGCAGAGTGTGGCGATGGAGACAGCAGCAATGGGAGGCCGTACAGGGACCCATGAGAGACTCTGGACTTGGCAGCAGCATGAGGAGGCGGTATATAGGGGCCCATGGCAGATTAGGGGCCTGGCAGCAGCTATGTGAGGCCCGTAATCTGCCTGCACCCTATGTCAAAAAATTTAACACACCACCAGCAGTGTGAAGAGACCTGAAAGTGGCACATGGCAGCAGAGTGTGGCGATGGAGACAGCAGCAATGGGAGGCCGTACAGGGACCCATGAGAGACTCTGGACTTGGCAGCAGCATGAGGAGGCGGGTATATAGGGGCCCATGGCAGATTAGGGGCCTGGCAGCAGCTATGTGAGGCCCGTAATCTGCCTGCACCCTATGTCAAAAAATTTACAACACACCAGCAGTGTGAAGAGACCTGAAAGTGGCACATGGCAGCAGAGTGTGGCGATGGAGACAGCAGCAATGGGAGGCCGTACAGGGACCCATGAGAGACTCTGGACTTGGCAGCAGCATGAGGAGGCGGTATATAGGGGCCCATGGCAGATTAGGGGCCTGGCAGCAGCTATGTGAGGCCCGTAATCTGCCTGCACCCTATGTCAAAAAATTTAACACACCAGCAGTGTGAAGAGACCTGAAAGTGGCACATGGCAGCAGAGTGTGGCGATGGAGACAGCAGCAATGGGAGGCCGTACAGGGACCCATGAGAGACTCTGGACTTGGCAGCAGCATGAGGAGGCGGTATATAGGGGCCCATGGCAGATTAGGGGCCTGGCAGCAGCTATGTGAGGCCCGTAATCTGCCTGCACCCTATGTCAAAAAATTTAAACACACCAGCAGCAGTGTGAGAGAGACCTGAAAGTGGCACATGCAGCAGAGTGTGGCGATGGAGACAGCAGCAATGGGAGGCCGTACAGGGACCCATGAGAGACTCTGGACTTGGCAGCAGCATGAGGAGGCGGTATATAGGGGCCCATGGCAGATTAGGGGCCTGGCAGCAGCTATGTGAGGCCCGTAATCTGCCTGCACCCTATGTCAAAAAATTTAACACACCAGCAGTGTGAAGAGACCTGAAAGTGGCACATGGCAGCAGAGTGTGGCGATGGAGACAGCAGCAATGGGAGGCCGTACAGGGACCCATGACAGACTCTAGACTTGGCAGCAGCATGAGGAGGCGGTATATAGGGGCCCATGGCAGATTAGGGGGCCTGGCAGCAGCTATGTGAGGCCCGTAATCTGCCTGCACCCTATGTCAAAAAATTTAACACACCAGCAGTGTGAAGAGACCTGAAAGTGGCACATGGCAGCAGAGTGTGGCGATGGAGACAGCAGCAATGGGAGGCCGTACAGGGACCCATGACAGACTCTGGACTTGGCAGCAGCATGAGGAGGCGGTATATAGGGGCCCATGGCAGATTAGGGGCCTGGCAGCAGCTATGTGTGAGGCCCGTAATCTGCCTGCACCCTATGTCAAAAAATTAAACACACCAGCAGTGTGTGAAGAGACCTGAAAGTGGCACATGGCAGCAGAGTGTGGCGATGGAGACAGCAGCAATGGGAGGCCGTACAGGGACCCATGAGAGACTCTGGACTTGGCAGCAGCATGAGGAGGCGGTATATAGGGGCCCATGGCAGATTAGGGGCCTGGCAGCAGCTATGTGAGGCCCGTAATCTGCCTGCACCCTATGTCAAAAAATTAACACACCAGCAGTGTGTGAAGAGACCTGAAAGTGGCACATGGCAGCAGAGTGTGGCGATGGAGACAGCAGCAATGGGAGGCCGTACAGGGACCCATGAGAGACTCTGACTTGGCAGCAGCATGAGGAGGCGGTATATAGGGGCCCATGGCAGATTAGGGGCCTGGCAGCAGCTATGTGAGGCCCGTAATCTGCCTGCACCCTATGTCAAAAAATTTAAAAACACACCAGCAGTGTGAAGAGACCTGAAAGTGGCACATGGCAGCAGAGTGTGGCGATGGAGACAGCAGCAATGGGAGGCCGTACAGGGACCCATGAGAGACTCTGGACTTGGCAGCAGCAGAGAGGAGGCGGTATATAGGGGCCCATGGCAGATTAGGGGCCTGGCAGCAGCTATGTGAGGCCCGTAATCTGCCTGCACCCTATGTCAAAAAATTTAACACACCAGCAGTGTGAAGAGACCTGAAAGTGGCACATGGCAGCAGAGTGTGGCGATGGAGACAGCAGCAATGGGAGGCCGTACAGGGACCCATGAGAGACTCTGGACTTGGCAGCAGCATGAGGAGGCGGTATATAGGGGCCCATGGCAGATTAGGGGCCTGGCAGCAGCTATGTGAGGCCCGTAATCTGCCTGCACCCTATGTCAAAAAATTTAACACACACCAGCAGTGTGAAGAGACCTGAAAGTGGCACATGGGCAGCAGAGTGTGGCGATGGAGACAGCAGCAATGGGATGGGAGGCCGTACAGGGACCCATGAGAGACTCTGAGAGACTGGACTTGGCAGCAGCATGAGGAGGCGGTATATAGGGGCCCATGGCAGATTAGGGGCCTGGCAGCAGCTATGTGAGGCCCGTAATCTGCCTGCACCCTATGTCAAAAAATTTAAACACACCAGCAGTGTGAAGAGACCTGAAAGTGGCACATGGCAGCAGAGTGTGGCGATGGAGACAGCAGCAATGGGAGGCCGTACAGGGACCCATGAGAGACTCTGGACTTGGCAGCAGCATGAGGAGGCGGTATATAGGGGCCCATGGCAGATTAGGGGCCTGGCAGCAGCTATGTGAGGCCCGTAATCTGCCTGCACCCTATGTCAAAAAATTTAACACACCAGCAGTGTGAAGAGACCTGAAAGTGGCACATGGCAGCAGAGTGTGGCGATGGAGACAGCAGCAATGGGAGGCCGTACAGGGACCCATGAGAGACTCTGGACTTGGCAGCAGCATGAGGAGGCGGTATATAGGGGCCCATGGCAGATTAGGGGCCTGGCAGCAGCTATGTGAGAGGCCCGTAATCTGCCTGCACCCTATGTCAAAAAATTAACACACCAGCAGTGTGAAGA